CAACTGCGGCCTAGGCCACCGCGGCCTAGCAGACTGGATGGGGCGCAGAGGCCGGCAGCCGTCGCCGCTCCTCCTGGGGCGGTGTGCTTTCCTTCTCTTGCTGCTGCCAGGGGTTTGCCCATCCACGGCCGTGCCGACGAGCGAAGCGCCTTCGGAGCCGGCCACCAGTCGAGGCGAAGCCACCGCTGCGGGGCCGACAGCAGAGCTCCCTCCTCCTTCGACCTCCGGCTCCGTAGGGCTCAGCGAGGCGACCTCGACGGTGGGCACAGTCGAGACATCCAGCCCGCATCTCACGGCTCCCAAAACGCCTCATGTCGGCCCCTGGCCGGCGCCCGTGACCGATGGTGGGTCCCCGCTGGGTGGCAGGCCGGGAAGCAGGCTGTTGTGACTGAGTGGAGCCTCCATTGACAGGAGCAGTGATGTCGGAGTCCCGGGTCAGACTCTTCCAGCAGAAGGGCGAGAGGAGGTGGGGGAGGGGGCTGGACACGTCTGGGTGTCCGCACCATAGGGGTGGGGCGCCAGGTGTCGCTGCACTACAGCTCCCAGCATCCCGCGCCATAGGCCGTGCTCCCTAAGGATCCTGGGAGTTGTAGGTTATTGGCATCTGGAGCGCTACCAATGGCTTACCTCTGACTACCTGTCCCGCTTCTTGGAGGCATCTGGCCAGCCGTGGTGGCAGGGAGGGAGAGGGCAAAAATTACCCGCCGAGCAGCACCACCTATGCACCTATTTCAATGGTTTTTCTCCTTGGTAAAATCCAGGGGTATGGGAATGCAGAACGCTAGTGTTAAAATATGCGTGTGGCTATAAGAAAAGAAAACTTGATCTGAAATTCATTTGGTTTAGTTGCTCGGAAGGTAATAGTTCATGCAAAATGATTTTTAGAGTCGCTGGGAGTCAGGCGGCATATTCATTTAAATATTATTATTATTATTATTATTATTAGGATTTGCCATTTATTACCATTGTTGTAAAATGTGGTTTTCAGTGGCTAAGCTATGCGTCTGTGACCTCCTGGAGGATCAGTGTGATGTAAACTGTTGTTGCGATCCTGTTTGCACGGCTGCGGATTTCAGTGTCTTTACTGCATGTTCGGTTCCCGTTGTCACGTAAGTGTTCTGCATATGTTGTAGATTGTTGAAGTGAATGTGCATTTAGATGTTTCCACAAAGATCTCTAAGGCACTCTGTTTGAACCTGCCACATCACAATAGCAAATTGACAATGCTGTCCCTAACTCTAGGACAGTGTTTCTCAACCTTGGCAACTTTAAGA